TATAGTCCAAGTCAGTGTCCTTTGCAGCTGACTTCGCCTCAAGGTCGGCTTTTTCATTTCCCAAAATGCCAGTATGACCAGGAACAAAAATAAAAGTTATCCTATTCACATGATTTACAATATGGTGCTGGATATATGTGATTTTGTTGCTATTGCAGTTGGGATTTAAGAGGGCCTTTAGGACAGACTGAGAGTCACTGAAGATGTTGAAAGAAAGAGTTTTGTTAGGAAGTGAGGTGGCCCACTGAACAGCCCGGTAGACAGCATCTTCCTCAGCTTGATAGATGGTGGTGTATGGGGGGTACCTGTACCTTTTAACATATTTTGGGCAAAGTAAATCAGTTTGAAGATAAATGCAGACACTTGAGCCAACATGAAGGGAGCCTTTGGACCCATCTGTGTAGATGTTAATGTCAGCATGGACATCCAGGGTGGAAGCAGATGACACCACGTGCACCCTGGGGATAACCCTGCTTACAGGGTGATGATCACAGTTGGTGGAGAAGTTGCAGTGTGGAAGCATGTGAACAGCCGTAGATAAGAGCAGAGACCGTTGTTGAACTTTGATGTTTGTGGTTCTGGTGTAATAGTGAAGAACTTTTTCTTCAATACAGAGTGGTAAAGGAAGGAGCTCTGCTAGAATCAGAGAGGCATTTGTAGAAACAGTCCTGCAGCACTTTGAAATTTTGATGGCAAACTGTCTTTGGAGAGAGAGTAATTTACTTGCAATTGTAACTTTACTCGTTACATGACCCCAGCTAGAAGCCGCATAAAGTATCATTGGTAGTATTGCCCCATTATACAGAGTTTTATAAGCTTTGTGATTTAGTCCCCAGGTGCATCTAGCACATTTTTGCAGCATGTAGTTTATTTTCTTGGCTTTAGCCAAGATATAATCAATGTGGTAACTATATGTAAGTTTAGTATCAAGGATTACTCCCAGGTACTTTTGCCGGTCTACCCATTCGATTGAGTCACCATCTAATAAAAGCTTGGGGTATGAAAATTTGTATTTGTTTGTGAAAAGCATAGCTTTGGTCTTGTAAGTACAGAACTGGAGTTTATTAAGATAGGCCCATTTGGAAGCTTTACTCAACATTTCGTTTAGCTTACTTTCCAAAAAAGCAGTGTCCCTATGCTGACACACAATGACAAGGTCGTCGGCATAGGCTTGCACACTTATTGCTTTGTCACATTTGGTTTTCAGAAAGGAGTTAACCACTAGGTTCCATAAGAAAGGAGATAAAACACCACCTTGAGGGCAAGATTTTGTTAGGAGTTTACTAACAGAGTGATGATGATAAGACAGATTTATTTTCCTGTTAGTTAAAAAGGAGGAGACCAGCTTGACAAGATAGTTGGGACAGTCTAGTTGGGAGAGCTCGTTGATAATGCTTGGGTGCCAGCAGTTGTCGAAGGCACCTTTAATGTCCAAAAAGATAGCTGCGGTATAAACTTTGTTACTCAGTCCCTCTTCTATGAATTGTGTCAAGGCATAGACAGCATCCTCAGCACTTCTGCTTTTTCTGAAGCCATACTGGTTTGGGTCGAGCCAGTGATGCTTATTAGCATGCCACTCAAGACGGCCCAAAATCATTTTTTCAAAAACCTTGCCCATTACTGGAAGAAGGCTAATTGGTCTATACAACTTGGAGGGGTCGGTATTTTCAGTTCTTGGTTTTTTGATAAGGATGACATTGGCAATTTTCCAGTGAGCAGGAAAGTAAGAAAGACTTAGGCAGGAGTTGTACAGACTGAGAAGAAAAGGTTCTAAAATGTTGAAACACACCTGAAGCATTTTGGCATAGATCTCATCACCTCCTGGAGCCTTATGAGGTCCCATGGAGAAAAGTGCTTTCTTGAGTTCAAAGGTGGAAAAGTAGTGATCTATTTCAGTTGGGGCTGAATGCACACTTAGCCAATTTGTTCTGATGGATTTATGTTCAGAGGAGTCATCCGTGTTATTGTCTCCAGGGAAGAGTTGTGCAGCCAGGGCTGATAAAGCAGAATTGATATCATAGCTATGTTGGGAGTTATCTATGTGTGCCTGAAGTGTATGATCCGTGTTGCTCCTGTTTAGAATCCTGTAAATGTTTTTCCATGGATCAATATTTCCCCTTGTATTGCAATAGTTTTGCCAAGATTTCAGCTTTTCTGACTTCATTTCTCTGATATATTTCTTTTTTGCTGACCTGTATTCAATTTCTTGATTGACTCTCAATAGGGGATTTTTCTGTCTTTGAAATTTGCGCCTAAGAGAATTGACCTGTTTTCTCAGGGATGTTAATGTTGGGGTCCACCACGGCACAGCCTTCTTTAGGGGGACTTTTCTGGGAATGGCTTTTTCTGCTGCACTTTTCAGAATATCATTTAGCTTTGACACCCATTTGTCAATTTCCTCTTCAGTGTTAAGAAAGGTTTGTGTACTAAAATTATCCAGTTCTACTTGGATTAGATCCTGAAACATTTGCCAGTTTGCCTTTCTCAAATTGAAGGAGTTACTTTTTGTGAGGCAAAGCCTGTGCTGCTGTTCAATGCAAAAGGAGATGGCTCTGTGATCAGATAGCATTTCCTGGTCAATCAGAGACCAGCAAGTGATGTTTTTAGTCAGAGAGGAGCCAGTGATAGTTAAATCAATCCAGCTTTTGCCCAGAATGGAGTCATAAGTAGGTTCACTTGGCTCATTTATCACAGTAAAGACATGTCTATCTAGGAATTCTTCAAAAAGGGTACCCCTGCTATTTTCTATGATGTCATGCCATAGTGGATTACGGGCATTGGAGTCAACACCAATCAGCAGCCTATTTTTATCAATTGTTTTGTAGGTTTCCTCCAAAAAAGAGATAGCATCATTCAGAGGCAAGCTGGGATAGCAGTAAACTGATGATAAGAACATAACAGTATCCAGAGTAATAGATATTACGGTGCAGAACTCATTACATAGCTGGGTAAGCTGCAGTATGGGGATATTTGGGTTGCATATAATAATGCAAGCTAGGGGATTAGGGACGGCTGCAGAGATAATCTTGAAACCCCTAGGAAAGCCAACAATTTTAGAATTGTATACGTAGGGATCCTGTAAAAGAGCAATATCTATGTCGTTAACTATTAAGTAATTTGCCAGATTACCTGTGACTGCTTTGGAGTGATTGACATTAAATTGAACAATTTTAATATGTTTCTTGGTATGTGGCCTCTCCATAGTCCGTATTTTCAATAAGTTTTGATTTTACTTTTAAATATACAGGACATTCTGGGTCAGTGGCTTTGTGAGAAATATTTTGAACATTCATTTTTAGTCGTTTAGCCCATCGGATACAATTGATGCACTTAATAACAGACGACTTGGTCTTTTCCACACAGGTTCTATAGCTGTGACCCTCTACTCCACAGTGTGAGCAGGCAGGTTGTTCCGGTACACATTTTGAAGCAATGTGACCAAATTTGCAGCAGTTGTAGCATTGTTTGATTCCTAAGTAGTTGAGGACTTGATGAGATCTAAGTCCTATATACACCCTTCTGTTTTTCAGTAAACTTTGATGAACTTGAGGTGAGGTCAAGAAAACCCATGTTTTTTCCTGAGCAGAGTCTGCCTTGGATCTGAAGGAGAATAGTGGTTGTAGTATTTGATCTTTTTCTTCTAGTATATTTTTTAAGTTGTCATTCTGTGCAGTGACAGTGTTAATCAACTCCTCTTTATTTAAGTTAGAGCACACATGGTGGATTTGAACTAAAGGCTTTCTCTTAGTTTTCTTGCTTGCCGAAAATTTGAATTCAGAGTCATGATTGTTATTGATGAGATTAATAATTTTATCGACACTGGCAGTGTTGGATAATTGTAGGCTGACTTTCCCATCTTTCTGCACTAGACAGGAGTCGATCCTGATACCATTGGCTGCTGGTTTTAGAACAGCTTCTAAGTGACTTCTGACAGTATTTCTGTCCACTTGCGAGTTTTTAATCCCTGGAGTTAATATTAATGTCTCCCTTTTTTGTGCTTGGCCAGGCTGGTTATAAACTTTTACTCTTGAAGCTTTGACAGCATTTGCATATGATTTTAGTTGTGATTGATGCTGAATTTTATCCTCTTGTAGTTTAATTATATCTTCTTGTACCACATTGTATTTGTCTAAACAGCATAAATGAATGTCAGTTATTCTTTGTATTAACTGATCTATTGTGTAACTTTCTTGTTGGTTAAGTGGGCGTTTATTCACTATGGGCTGATAAATACTTTTAAGTTGGTTGATGACTTCCGTAAATCCTAGTTTCGATATTTCATTTAAAGTTGCAGACACGTTTTCTGGGGTGGCTTTCGATTTGCGCCCCGGCATCGTGCTGCAGATTAGGCTTAGCTAACTCACCAAGCCACGTGGTCGACAGTAAGGTTGACTAGCAACGAAGAAAACAGAAAATTGGTACTCACATGCACAACAAAGGTTAAGAAGCCAAAATAAGATAATCAAGTGTCATTAAAGAGGTGGAAAATATATTAAATATGAAAATAAAACCAGAACAAAAGCAAAGCGCTGTTTAAACTTGATGCCACCTGGCGGTCACCGATATTACTGGTGTAGAATTCAATAAATAAATAAGCAATATCTATAAACAGCATTAATTTTTTTAAATCGCTGCATTGAGCATGTGTGTATCTTTACAACATGCAATTTTTAAATTTTTGGAAGGTGCGGTGCATTCTTTTAAAACATTCCAATACATAGAAACCTGATGATGATCATTAAAGACAAGAAAACATTCATTTAAAAGAGAATTAATGCTCATTATAGGTAATTGCTTATTTATATAATAATTTTGTTTCAGAAAAAATTATAAAACACAAAATGTTTTTTATTTATAGATCTTAAAAAATGAGGTTTTTTTGTATTATTTAAATGTAATATTTTATTTTTTTATCATATATATCTTATTACAGTTAATTTGAATAAGTTATAAATAAATGTAATTCATACTTTTTGAAATAATTTAATTAATGTTTTCAGGTGATCATTCTTATAAACAAAATAAGAATTTATCTCCAAAAGAACAAATGATTACAGCACTTCCTGATGTAAGAACATTAACATTAGATGTTAACAGTGATGATTTTATGGTTTTAGCATGTGATGGAATATGGTAAGTTATATATGAAAAACTTTATATAATGTGTATGTATGTATATATATTTTAAGTCCAAAATCAAGAATATTGGTATAAATAAACTGGTTGTAGGAAGAAATTATATAATTAACTAACTTAATTGGTAAATTTAAAAAAATTTGATAGATAATACATTGAATGAGTTTTCTAGAATCCATGATAGTACATATGCATGCATGTGTACTATCAGGATATCTAGAAAACGTTAATGCATGCATACACACAAAGAATCACCAACAACATTGAAGATTGTAGTTTTCATTATAAGTACTTGGATGTCTTTATAATGAAAATAGTACACACTACACCTGCAATGTTCATGGACATCAGTGTTTCAGGAATTCAACCATTCACGATCAGAAATTTATGCACCAAAATTTCAACTATTGTGAAAGGTTTCAACCTTTTGGGAAATGGGAGATTATGTACTACTGCAAACTGGAGTTGGTGCCTATATAAACTGATGTTCAAGCAGGTACAATGCTAAAAAGTCACTGCACTCACTCATTCAACTAGTATTTGTCATAAGTTATGCTTGAGCCAAATGCTCAAATAAAATGACTTTTGCAGCACTTTAAGTCCATTGCACAATGTATTTATTTAATAAAACCATTCATTATTCTGAAAATTTTTTAAACAGCAGTAATACATAAAGTCTTTGAATGAATTACAAATTTAACACTGAAAATGGACACTCATGGTTTAAAAATGCAATGTTCATGAAGGATTATTTTATCCTAATTATTCATGAACCTGGGGAGATCAGTGTAAATATTCTCTCAAGAAACATTACAAATATTACATATAATTCTATAAAAAAAATTATTTCTCTAAAATCAGAAACCAAAGGGGATAAGTACTTGACAAATTTTTTCATAAATTTGAAAAATTGAAGATCATAAAACATACATCTGTAAATAGCCATACATTAAGCTATTTTATATATATATATATTTATATACAGGCTGCCCTCATTTTATACCATGCATTCTCTGTATCCAAAAATGTATTTATTTAATTATATTTTTCAATAAAAACATGCTTAATATTTAAATTTTTACTAATACAAAATAATAATAATACAGAGATTGTAACTTATTTATTTACAGCTTAAATTGATATGCAGTTTTATACTGCCACTTAGTTGATTTTGTATGGCACAATGGAAACAGCTATGCCTGGTTGAGGGTCATCCATTAATGATGAGCTAGGCTGAAGATCATACACCTTCATAAAATATGAATCCAAAGTTACATGCCATGCTTTTCTTTTTCTCTTTTTGAGAATTTCATTATGAGGTGCTAAGACTATTTACACGCTTCCTTACAAAAAGTGACTTTGGATTCATTTCAAAAAACTCTTCAGTCAATGAATTGACATTAGCAAGAAATTTTTAAGCACATCAATAGTTATTTTCTTTACAGCACAAGACGTTCGACATCATTTCTCTCCTCCTTTCTTTGTGCATCCAAATTTTCTATCAAATTTGCTAATTCTTCTGTAGAAAAGTCTCTTTCTTCTTTCTGATCTTCAATCATTCTAATATGTCATGTTATGTAACTGCATCAAATCCAGTCTCTTGCTCTTCTAACTTCTTGTATGACTGCAGCACTTCTGTAAGCCCAAATTCTGTAAAGTCATCCATTGATCAGGTAGAAGCTTGTATTCTAAATTGCATTTAAACAGTTTGGAATGACCTTTATCCAGGCAACGTCAATGAAATGAATGGCCTTCAAAATATATGGTGTCTCAATAGCAATGCTGGATTTAATTATGGAATAAGATGCATTTTTATTGAACAATTGTTGATATTTTTATTTTAGTAAAATGTAACATTACAACTTATTTCAGTATGATCATTTTTACATGTGGAAGACAGTGTCTGCTAAATGTTCCCCACAACTCTGATGGCACACATACACTAACACTCTTTCCACAAAATTGCTAATGACATTGTCACACAATTCTGGCAAAAATGTGTCAAATCTCCATCTTGAGGTCAAGAATTGTTTGTGGGTTGTTGGCATAGACAAGAGATTTGTCAAATCCCCACAGAAAAAATCATTGTGTCAAATCACACAACCTTGGTGGCCAGTTCTGGTTGGCATTGCATAAGGTGACATGATCTGGAAATTATTTTTGAAAAAGTTTAGCCCAATCACTTAAAATCAATAATATTTTCAAGGTTACCAACCACATCGAATGTCACTGGCATCAGTTTACATCTGGCACTGTTAATGGAACACCCTGTATTAAATGACTGCCAACAATCTTTAACCATCATATCAGGATTTGTGTCTAATCCATTGACTATTTCTTTAAAGAATTCCTACAGGCATTACATCTCAAAAGTTGCTATTTTGTCCTGATTAATCAACACAGTACAGATGACATATTTGGAAGTATGTGAACCACATTTACTATTTTTTGAGTTCTCTTTCAACTTACAAAGATTTGGAGGAGGCAAAGATCGTTGTCTAACAGAAGAATAGCTTTAGATTGAAAATCATTCTTAAGGCAGTTGTGCAACAGTGCAAAGATTGTTTATGTACCAGTTCAAGAACAATTTCTGTGTGACTCACCCTCTTCTTAAACTTCAAAATTTAACTAGATTTTGAAATGCATCTTGGATTGCCAGCATATATTCTTCAGATACTCCAGAGTTGCAGTTTGGTATTGTGTAGTTTCCAGCCAAGATTTCTGAAATAACCTGTAGGAAAAGAATTATAAATTGCAATATAGACATGAAGAGTAAACAAAATATCACAATTGCTGGAAAAATTCTTGGTATTATTATAAAGCTTCAGTTAAAACAACTGTAATTTGTTTTATATTTCATTAATCCATGATCACAGTTCAATTTTTGTGTTTTATATATTTATATAAAATATATATATAGGTAATAATATGCAATATAAATATTTATGTTATGTATTATTTAGTGATGGGACAATTAATCAGAATTTAAAAAATCATACATTTTACAGGAATTGGAATCATTGGAAAATTTTTTCACGATATCCAATTCTTAAAACTGATTCTTCCACATTTTGTAAGAAAACTGATTGTTTGTTTCAGTCAAAAATTAAAAAGTTTTAAAATTATAATACAGGCATACCTCGACTTACGTTGTTTCGAGTTACGTTGTTTCGAGTTACGTCGTTTCCGATTATACGTTGTTTGTCAAAAAAGTATATGGAAAAATAAAAATCAAGTTTAAGTCATTTTATTCGACTTTACGTCTGTCCACCACAAATATTGAAGTCGTAATATCACTAGAAAAACTTTTAAAGCACATAAAATCATATTAAAATATATGAGTATGTTCTATATTTACAGTATATGCATTCGTAAATTTAGAATACTTTTTTCTGTACTATATTAAAAACTAAAATTTATTTCTTTGTAAGCTTAAAATAGATTTTTATTAACCATATATTATTAAAAATGCATTAATAAATAAAATACAGAACCGGGAATGGTAATTTATGGTTTAGCCTAGTGACAAGTAGATTCGGAGACAAGTAAATTCGACTTACGTCGTTCTCCTGGAACCAATTACCGACGTAAGGCGAGGTATACCTGTATTAACAATTAAATGCTAGTTTATTGGAAACTTTTGTGTTGACAAAGCAGAGTATGCAATGCCCCATACATGAGGAGATGGCTGTCACAGTGGACTTTTCTTTTGTATAGTTGGAACAATGAGAGATTGTACTCAGTTGGTACTAAATGTCTCTATTTTAGGGGAGATGTGCTAACTTTATGGTTTCCATCTGGCTGGTAATTTTTATTCTGTATATATATTGAAATCTAAATGTTCCATTACTGTCACACACAAATAAAAGTAAATTTAAAAATTAATTTGATTTACAATTTGAAAATTTCAGAAAAATTTTTAAACAGTTTTTTAAAACATTGTTTTAATTTTCAATTGATTTGATATTATTTTTAGTTTTGGTTTCAGTGTAAAGGCCAGAGTTTTGATTATTATTTATTTTTAATAATTTTTGTATATTTAATTTTTCCTGCAATTTTTTGAATCCTTAATTACAACTTTTTAAATTAATTGAAGCTCTTTTTTGTGGCATAATTATAAAAAATGTTTGTGTTGTTTCGCACAAAAGATAATCAAATTTATTTTAATTTTTTACTAATTTCATTAATAGTTGTTTCATAAATTTGCCTGCTTTTTAAAAATTTTAATTATAAGCAAGTTAACATTGATTGAACTATTGGGCTATCTACTTTTAAATTGACTTGTGGTCAGCAAAACAGTTTAAAATATAAACAAAATTATATTTTAATTGAAAAAAATATTATATAAAAATATTTTTAATATTTAATATATTTACTTATAATGATAAAAATGACTTTCTCATCATAATTATGAAAGTTTTTGTTATGATTCATAGATGATGCTGTAATATGTTAAATTTTCAAATTCAATTCACAGAATTCTGACTAAACATACATACTTGTTTGCAGTAAGTTTAATGCCATTTTGAGTTTTAAAAATTGATTTTTCAAGATGAGTTGATCTAGACATTGGCTTCAGTGAATGAATTCAAAAGTTGGTTAACTCATGACGATGATATTTGTTCATCTCGCTGCATCATTTGCTGAACCTCATTTATATTAAATACAATGGCATTAACCTGGTCTCTGGTACAGTGGAACCTCGCATAACGAGCAAAACGTTAAAAAATGACTCACTTAACGAGCAGTGTTTCGCATAATGAGTGACCAGGAGAAGGGAAGTCCTGGAATATGCGCATGCTTCATTAGTCTGTGTTTAGCACTCCTTCCGCTAGCATCTTAGTGTTGCTTGTGGTCACACATTTTTACAAACTTGTGTTCACACATATTACTTATAAACATCAACAACCATAGCCCATTATATAATAAACACACCAAATGATGTGCCAAATTCTTGGTCTATGTAAATGCTATAATTAAATATTAGAAATTAATTAATTTGACTAGAGGTAGGTAGTTATGCTGCCATCTTGTATTAAATTCAATGACCAACTCCAAATTAAATTTTTAAAATGTCTAAATTAAAAATTAATTATTTATAATTATTATATTAAATACAAGATGGAAGCATAACTGCCTACTTCTAGTCTAATTGATTAATCTAATATATAATCGAGACAGGTTGATAATGATAATAATAAGCGCAGAGCCCAAACGGTTAGGAGTTGAAATTTGATACACAGTTAGGGTACGTCACGAAAGCGCACACTAAGAAGGCATTTTTCAAAATTTTCCCCTGGAGGAGAGAGACAGGATTAAGTCTTCTATATGCATTATGGATACGAGCCCAAACAGTCTAAGGGATTAAGGCTTAACACCTCCATCAACAATGGAAGTGTCAACAATGGAATTGTTAAGAGAAAGCGACGTGCAAGACGCATATGCAGTTTTTTTCATTTTTGCAGGAAGTCGAACATATTTTTAGACCATCTAAAAATTCTCTAATTAGTCTGGAAACAAGGGGACCCAATTCTTGCATTCTGTGAAATCGAACATATTTTTAGACCCATCTAAAAATTCTCTAATTAGTCTGGAAACAAGGGGACCCAATTCTTGCATTCTGTGAAAACGGGTAAGGTTGACTGTAATGTAATAATCTTAATCTTAGTTATCGTTACTTTTGCCTGAGCAACTCCGGGCCTACCTGCTAGTATTTAATATTTAATTATAGCAATTAAATATGCCAAATTCTTGGGCTATCATTTGGGGTGTTTATCAGACATATTATCTGTGACTTTTTTTCTTTTCTGCAAATCGAATTTGCATTCCAGGTAGGTTCATTTTATGCTAGAAGAAAAGACGATGATGATTCACACTCCTTAACAATTTATATTGTATAATTTTCTTTGAATAAACATTATCCATAAAATATTTCAGTACTTTTTCAGCATGGAATGCATTATCGTATTTTACATTAATTTATATGGGAAAAATTGTTTTGTTTAACAAGTTTCCCATTATGAGTATGATTCTGGAACAAATAATGCTTATTAAGCGTGGTTCCACTGTATTCCCAAAATATTTCAGGCTGAAACATGATGACCTTGATCAGTTGACCCGAAATATTTTGTTTCTGCATTGGAATGTTTTTGAAATTAGATGTTGCTAGTCATTATAATTTTTATATTAAAACTAACTTCCGAAATATAATTTTTTTTAACATTTATTAATATGTCTATTTTGTTTGTGCAAAATAAAAAAATAATTTCAGACGATACAATAGCCACGATTATTTTTTCAAAAACATGTAATTTTTGTTAAGCTTAACATCAACAAAAATTCAACGTGGGATAGGTTAAATCATTTACAAGACAAGACATGCCCTTTGCAAGAAGTGTGAAAAAAAAGTATATCTTCTAATTTACCTGTCCCTCTCTCAGTTAATCTGTCAGCCAATCAAGCAGTTTCCAAAGATGACAACCTTGAGATGGGATAATTCTTTGAGTAAAATGGAATTAGCTGTAATTTCTTTGGGTAGTATTGCAGTATTAACCTTTATCTGAAATAAGATTATAAATTTATTTTATAGTACACAATAAAGGCATGTGTATCCACATATAAATGGAAATTTTTGTGTTTCTTTTGAAAGATTGATTCTGGATTTCCCAATTGTTTTCCATCCTTAAGCTTGATTTTATTAATTGATGAATGTACCATGCTTGTAATTTAAATTGTTAATTTTTCTAAAGTAAAATAAACTGTAGAAAGTATTCAAAAGAATCAGAATTGGGAGAAATTTTGGTATTGTCCCATCACTAATATTATTATTATATATTTAAATTCCAGATAAAACTTTTTCTTAAAAAACAATTTTTTCTTTAGGAACTTCATGTCAAGTCAAGAAGTAATAGATTTTATTAAGGATAGATTGGACTCAGATATAAAATTATCTACTATTTCTGAACAGGTATTATTATTTTATGTATTTATATTTCAAAATCATTCCATAAACACCTTTTTGGCTGCTGGGATTCACTTTTATTTAGCTAATGTTTTCAACCTCTAATAGGTCATCCTCAGGCTGCAATTTTTTGGAACATCTTCCAAATTAAATATTGTTCCAAAATGCAATACAATAAAAGAATAACAATTTTTTAAATAATTGAATATAAAGCAAAAATAACTAAAAATTAATATAAATAATAAATGACAGTAAAATGCAAAATAAGTAATAAAAAACAGTAAAATGTAAATAACTCATAAATATAAAAATATATAGTAGAAATCAGGTAATTATGGTTTTCCAACAAACTAGTTTTTTACAATGTATTTCTGTGCTGTTGATAAACTGTCCACATCTCTTGCATTATTGCAATTATCTTTCAATCTGCTTTTGTATATTTCAATTTTTTCAGCATTCTATGCTAATGTAGGGGAGTGTACAGACTTAATGATGTTTGCCCCTTTCCATTTTATCACTGATTCCTCAGTCTGTGCCATCCTGGAGAGTACCATGTTGGATGCCTTTCTTACATCATATTGTTGTTCTTTGAGTCTAACTTTCAAGTTTCTTATAGTGACATCAATGTAATTCTTAGCAAGGTTGAGGCCGAAGTTTTAAACACAAAAACGTATACGTCAGACGTTCAGCGCCACTTTCCTATAAGCCTAGAAGTTTGACAATGGTGTTTGGATAGTCAGTGGAATCATGCTCAACATTCCAAATGCCATTGTCAAACTTCTAGGCTTACAGGAAAGTGGCGCTGAATGTCTGACGTATACGTTTTTGTGTTTAAAACTTCGGCCTCAACCTTGCTCTTGTCTATCCCCAACTGCATGTTTTCATACAGTATCCTGTACACACCTGACATTTCTTCTGTTTCTAATCTATCCTTATTTATCTATCTAATCTATTTATATTTCATTAAGTTTTTCTAATAAAGTAAAATGTTAGTAATTTAAAAGTTTAAATGATGTCCCAAAAATTATTTAAATGAGATAACTTAATAATTTGAAGTAATTATTACATTCAGGATATAAGAACATTATATTCTGTTTTGATATAAATTGAATACAGTTATTATTTTAATTTAATTTGTATAATAAAAGTAAATGGAATACCATTTGTCATTAATAATATAAAAGCCATCATCTGTGTGTGTGAATTTCATATAACTCTTGCAATTTTTGTTCACTCCAGATGAAATTTTGGTTATATTTGTTTTTATGTTCTGAACATATAGGTTACTTATTTTGTGGAAATATTAGCTATAGAATAAACATTTTATCAATTTTTGATTAGTAATTACACTTAAGTTACAGTGATGTCAGTGACCTCATTTAGTTCATGCTTGGTGACAGAATTTCTCTTAAGTTGCATTTTTAAATGTTTTGGCAAATGGCGTATTTTAAACTTACTTCACTAAATTTAAACTTTAAAATAGATTGTGTCACCTCTATAAGAAATTTTTTTTTAAATCTTTTTATCTTGACCATATGACTTTCTATTATCCAATTGAAAGTAATGATCTAACAAGCTTGTCATTTAAAATGTATTATCATGCTTCAATTATGTTCTGATGGACAGTTTAAGCTATTGAGTTTAGAGAAATACCGGTTGAAAGGCCCAATGCAGGCATTGGGAAATACAAAATATATAAGCTCCCAATCCATACACACACACAGTAGACCCCTGTGTGTGTGTATATGGATGTGTTCCAGGCATTCCGAGACAATAATGAATTCCTATTACAAATAAAAATAATAATATATTGAACATTATACTGTAAAAATGTAAAATAATTTGTTAATTTAAATAATAGCTAGGGGATGCCCTAGTAGGTGTTTTTGGCATACCATGACATAACCCAGTTTTTCAGCTTTATATAGTAGATTAGTTACTCTTGAATTTCTTGAAATCTATACTCTTCTCAATTCTTCAATCTCTACTTTCTCATAGAAAGTAGTCCATCATACTTGGGAGAATCTCAGTTTAAATGTAAATGTAAAATTTCAGTACAAAAATAAAAAATATAAATATAAGCTTGTAGAACACATGCTAGATGTCATATTTTGCTTACAACCATATGAAATATATTTTCATGCTGTTGATAAGCGTTGTGCATCTTTTTGGTTGATGCATGAGAGATCTTTAGTATTCTTATAGATTGATTATCAGTCCATTGACTTACAAATGTGTTCTTAGCAATTTTTAGGAGTTTGGCTTTCTTAAAATGTGGAATGTTCCCAAAGATTATGGAATATGTGGGTAAAGATGTAACACTTTTCTTTTTAACTTCATATTGATGTTCTTTAATCTTAAAGTAACATGACAAGGAATATACCTACTATGTTCTAGCTTACTCTGTTTTCATTTCCTAACATGATGGGTATTTCATAGATACCTGGAATCATGTTTGTATCTACCAGGTCCTTTCTATTGCATAGCAGATTATACAGTGTAGGATTATGTTTATATGTTATACTACGTCCGCACACAATCCACGACTCACTTCGATCTCGATTTACTTACAATCTGGATTGTGACTGTCGCTAGTCGAACGTCGTGCTGTTCGTACAGGCAGTCCGCTTGAGAAGAACCTGGCTATTACACGTGATCATAAAACTGACGTAACTACGCGGTAAGTCACAAACACCAACAAACAAAAGGGAAGTTTTGGTTAGAAATAAGTACTTTTTCTTGCCGTATATCTAATAATAGACAGATGTCTTAATCTCTCCAGATGTCTTTTTTATTTCTCTGTTGATAGCCCGACACGCGTTCCGCAGCCATCTTGTATTTTCTCACGCTCGTGGGATTGGGATCTCTCTTATGACTGGATCTAGTTTCGAGAACTCTCTCTAGTCGATCGCGATTGAACCTCGTTTCAGTCGAGATTGAAATGGTCGAGAGCATTTGCACCACGGAACACTCTCCAACCTTAGTCACAATCTAGATCGAAATGCTCGGTGCGAATGGGGTATTAGTTTATATCCATACCTTTTTGCAATCTCTCTACATTGTGTAATAGCCTACTATATGTAACTACAATAGTTCTATTTTGTTGGGAAAAAGTGCTAGGAAGGGCTGTTTCTAGTTCACTGTAGATGTAAATTCCTCGTGTACCAACTGAAATTTTGGGAGAATACAGTAATACCCCAAACTTACGCGATAGGTGGGACCGAGCGATAACTGCGTAAGTCGGGGTATAATTTCGAATATAAATACATACAAATAATTTTTAATTGGGGCCGGAGACTAAAGAAAACAATAATTTAGAAAAAAATGTCTAATAAAATCTTATATAATACATATGTATAACAAGTTATATTATTATACAATTTTTCACATTTACTTGATTATCACACTATAATTTTAACATCGTTTTCATCTCAGCGATAATACCGTGACGTTTACGAATGATGCTTGAATTTAAAGATTGAGCATTTTTCACAAATTTTTTCTTTACCTTTTATAATTGGTTTGACCGTCAAAGTTAATAATGTTAACTTTACATTCCAAAGATAAAGTTTTTCTTTTTTTGTTTGATGCAGAAGAATCAGTTCTACTTTGTTTGGACGACATAGTAGAGTCTCTCGAGTCTCCGTAGATATAACAAACACAGAAATAAATAACACAGAATAAATTGTAGCTATATGTCGATTCCATGCGACACGTCCGAACATGTAAGCTGAACAATAGTGAGGAGGAAGTGAGTAATCAAGAGTTGCGTGGCGCTCAAACAAAAGACGAATTGACGAGATTTGAAAATCGCGTAACTCCGGGTTTGCGTAAGTCGGGGTATTACTGTATTATTATTTGATCTAGCAGTAGACGATTCTATGGGAAAGCTAGATTTAGCAGATTTTGCTAAATTAGCAACTCTGCTTTAAAAGTCAGCATATTGCAGAGATAGATGTTTTGGAAATAGAATTTATTTCAAGTTTTATTACTTACTATTAAAACAATTGAGAGTGCTTGTTTCTTTATTGCCTTTGTATTTAGTACTGTTCTGTTCAATAAAATTGTATTCTAATAAATTAAAACATACAACTCAGCAAAGACATTACATATTTCTTTTCTAAAATGAGTCTTGGATTGTAAGCTGAAAAAAGTTGTTGGCACGCCATATTTGTCATGTGTGCCAAAGGTTGCCCATCCCAGGCCTTAGAGCATGTAAAACTGCAACCTTTCTGATTCTCTTAAATTTTTTTTTGTCTGTCATTGATATCTGTGGAGTGTGTGGGCTCTAGCATCAAGAGTTCTCAATGTTGCCATCTTATACTGCTGGATCATTAAAGTGACTTTAGATATACAAAAGATGGAATATGGGTTCAGGTAGACATTGAAATCTGTTCATTTTGTCTGGATGCTGGCTAAATTAAAATGATAACTGTATTCAGTTTATGCCATAACTGAATATGATGTTCTGATAATCTGATGATTGCTACAAGAAACATTTGATTTTCGTAATTAAAAATGTTACTAGTAAAGGTTTTTTTTTATTACTGTTTATTGTTGTAAGTAACCAGTTAAAAATATTTTGTCACAGCCCATACCTGAATTTTGTTAGACATGAACTATTTACTAGCTCATCCTATCAATTAATAATTTAATTAATTCATTAGATTATTGTTTTTGATTAGCTTTTAATCATGTTATATTTTATCTAATTTTTTGATAATTGTTGCAAATGCATTTATTTGCTACTATTTACAGAAAGATTTATGAATTAATGAGTATTTTATAAGATAACTTATTAAATTTGCATGAAAGAATTGATAGATAAGCTATCCAATTCTTTCATGCAAATTTTTAAATCCAGTGATACAGTATCTATTGCATTGATTTCAGTTAAGGCATCTCTAACTACATCTTAATGAATAATTTAGTAATCTGTTAAACTGTACAAGTAAAATTACTCCTATTAAACAACTACATTAAATAGATTTATTTGATAATCATTTAAAAATTTTTGTAAAAATAAAAAACGTGCTCTTTCTTAAGTTTGAATTTTCATTTACTTTTGGATTTGATAGTGACTATGATGACAATGTTTGATGTAACTCAAGAAGAAATATTAAAGCAATGAGAGCAATTAACTTTTTCAGATTTTTAAAATAAATTTATTAAAATTTAATTTTATGTAGGGTGCATTATTATTATTATAATTAGAAAAAGAACTTTTTAATAATTAAAACAATGATTATAATTGTTTCTTATGAAAGAATCTAGTTTATGAGGTCCTTATCAAAAGTCCTAATGGGCAGATAGCTCAGAAATAGAGGACTTTTTTTCTATAGGCTCTTCAAAGTGTACAAGTCACAGTTTTGACTATTACCATGGAAACAGCTGATTAAAGTACTTTAAACCACAAATTGATTCCTGTTTTTTTCATAAAATAAATGATTAGCACGCATTATGAATTATTTGGAATCTGTTCTCAGCATCACTCAGATTAACAATGTGGATATGATGAAAGTCTAATTAATCTCTTTGGTACTTGTTTAATGTGAGTCCTCTTGCTTCTCATTTTTAGGGTATTTGTATTTTTATGTTTTTATTAAAGTATGAATGATGGAACATAAATTTGTGGTTCATTATCTTTTCATTTTATCATATCTGAAATCTCTCTCTCCCTAATTGAGAATCTGTAGCAAAAAAATCCATTAATGAATGGCCCATTAGAACTTTTGATCAGGCTCTCATAAACTACAATAATTTAATTTCCAGTCAATTACACCTAAATCCATAAGGTGAGGGATCTTTTATTCATTAAATACAAAATAGAAATATCTGGACACAGGCAAAAATATTACTGAAAGCAATCTTGTGTTGATAAGTAAGCTGTAAATTGTACATTTTGATTAGTTACAAAGTCCTTTTAATATTAGAAATTTGAAATTGATTAAAATATTGAAATCATGTTTCACTTTTTTAATCGAAAATAGATTAGATTAAAATTGAAACAATTATTATATACCGGTATTCAAATATAATTTTTTTTTAATATTGTTTTTAAAAGTAACTATTATTTTTGTAGTTATTCGATTATTGTCTGGCACCAGATACCTTGGGAGACGGAACAGGTTGTGATAATATGACGTGTATCATCGTGAAATTCCATAAACTCGATTCTACCAACGACAATATGTCTTCATTAAAAAGATCTCATTCACCAGTTAACGAAAGTCCTAAAGAAGGAAAGAAAATGAAAGTCGAAGAAGAAACATCAATTTAAAAAAGACATTAGCCATCGTAATTAAAACATTTGTTACTTTAATTCTGCACAAAATATCCTATTTGCAGTTTCAAGACTGCACGGTAAGATATCATCACGTAAATTTCCTAGAAAACATCCGACCGATGTATATGTACCTGACATATTTTAGATTCATCACTTCGATGTGCGAATTCGTACGAATTCATGCTTAATAATGTGTTTGAGGTGTTTATAATTATATAAAAGTCATTGTTTGTATCGTATTATTCTGAAATGCATTTTTTCTAGTTATAATTTGTACATTACAGTATCACCTCATACACGCTATTAAGCTTGGAACTTCTATACAAATCGATCGCTTCTTTATGGAAGCCGAAATTCAATTTTTGCCAAATATATGACGATTTATCTTTGAACACGAAATCTCGAAAAAAAGTATTAAAAAGAAAACTTATTTCAATAGATATTTTTAAATAAATTGGCTTTGTGAAATAATTTATTTTTCATATGTTGTTAAAAGAAAACGAGTTCCATACATATAGATATATATTATAGAAAATCAGAAAACTTGCCGAGAATGAATTTTTTTGTAAGAACAGTACATCGTAAAATCCATAAAAACCATTAAGCTGATGACACTTTGGTTTTAAATAGAAGTTTAAGGTCGAAAATTCCAAATTTTTAATCATCGTCTACTGTCAGTTTTGAACGGAAGTTTTCTTTATTTATATTCACTTTACATCTGTATTCAGCATAATTTTCCATTACATTTAGATATTACTAAATAAAAAAATACGAAAATGAATTTAGTGTATATAAATATATATATAAATGTTTTATTTAATTAAAAAAAACACTTTTATACACGATGTGTCTTTATAACATTTTCTTAATAAGCATTATTTAAAAATAATGCTTATTAAGAAAATCAAGTTTAACAAAACATGATTTACGGGGTAAAATAAATTAAATGCACATAATTTTTTTTTATAAAATTGTGTAAGCCGTTGTAGCTAACAAAATCCTCCCGATTAAGACCAATATCGCGTGCGCGTTAAATTAGTGTCATAAAATTTTTTACAAGAGGTCATTCATTTACAACATACACGCGCGAAATAGCAGAACTTTGCGCTAGGAAAACATCAATTTTCAAATATGGCAAGCGCGATCTCTACCAAAGTAAATAAATTATCGTATCATTTGTCTTGTTTTTTATGCTGATTATTATTAATTTACTGGAGTGAACTATATTATCTTCTAATTAAAATCTTAAGAGAGAATGAATTTTGTAATATTTATGACTCTTCGATACAATATAAAATATATTGTTTAAATAAAAATTCATTGCACCGAATATACGATTATCTTTTCGAAAGAATCCAAATATAGAATAACGTCTAATATAAATACCATTATACTAGTTATGTCGTTATCTTATTACAATGTTTAAATCGTATGTATAAATTTGTTTACTCTCTGTATCTTGTACATCCCAAATGTTGTTCCTTCATCTTTTCTAACTCAAAACATATTTATTCCGACAATAATAAAAATCAATATTCTGTTTTCTCTATTAACTCGTAGCTATTTTTTTTAAGATGAAAGTCGGCTAGATCGTCGCGACAATATTAACTTACTCTTTCCGTACTGTACCTGGTGATTTTTCGTGGGTAATTCGGATCGGGTGTCAATCGATTCATCCTTCGCTTAAGCTAGCCGACGTCGCCTTTACGTCAGGTTCTTCCTTAATAGGCATAAAAAGAAAATTTCGTGTAACCCGTGTGCTAATGCATTTATCAACAAATGATTTGTTATCAGATTGTTGCGTCAAACTTACACAAGGGTGTTTTATATATACAGGATGTATCAGAATGACGTTTTAAAAATTTTGGGGATTGTAGAGGATGAAATTTTGAACGTTTTGATATAAGGAACGTATAGCCGGAAATTTGAACTAGTGTCTACAGCGGTATGAAGTGCTTGACCGCTCTTCACTTTGGTAGCTACCCTTCCGTCCATTGACGTCATGTTATTGCTGCGAATGGAAGAATGTAAACACACAACTAGAGTGGTCTAACAGCCTGTGTACAGGACGTTGTGTACTTTTTGCTTGTCGTCCTTCAGGTTACCCCTTGCATCCACTGGCGCTGTACTGTAAACACAGCTAGTAGACGTGAATCCTTTGTGTACGCAACACCTGTAGGAATAGTTCATGAGCTTATGGAGCGCATCTTTACAGCATTTAATACCATCAGAGGAGAGCGTGGCATCTTACAGAGAGTCGGACAAAACATGGTTCGTCGTTGCACATTATGTAAGTTGGTGGTCGTCGCATTGAACATTTACTCTAAAGTAGTGCAACCACTGATTCGATGTACGGTTTCATTGTACTCTACTTTCATTTTTGTCAATAAAAGTTGTCATAAATACTGTATTCTGCTGTTTCATTCAGCTTATCGACCGCATAGAACGTGCAAATTTGTTTGCTTTTCCTTGATTTGAAGAAAGAAATTTGATAGATGAAAATCGAAAACAAATTGAAAAGGCTTTGGGGAGAAGGCCCCAATTAACTATATATGAACCTCGAAATCAGGTTATTTCAATTCAAATATTTTTCACTGAATTCCAGTTACTTATTTAGATATATGATCGACATTCAATTTAATTCTATAGGTAACAGAAGAACTGCAATGTACAGGGACAACATAGTTGAGAGACGTTATCACAATAAATAACCGCTTCTTACTTCTGTTATTCCTACGTGTATTAAATTATTTTCATCTCTACTTGTAATAATAAAATTAAAGTAATAACGGAACTCTTCGCTTGCCCTTCGTTATTTCCAAACGAATGGCAACCCAACTCACCACGGAAAGGTGGCCGCAGCATTGTTGGAAAGAATGTAACTCCACCCGTCATTAGCATCAATTGTGAAGTTTCATTCGTCCTAACTCACATTTCAAAAACATTATTTAATGTTAATTTAATAATAATTGAACTAGGTACATTAACAATTACCTCATCTTGAGATATTAACTCTTAGACATCTTATTGTCCCCTTGGTATAGCTTGTGGATAAGAGTCATTGATGTTATTAAACTTTGCTGGTTCTGATTCGCTCTCAGTACGACTCAAATTGACAAATCTTGTGAAGTAACGACTCGAACGAAATTTTGCTAATAAAATGGCGTGTTGTGACAGAGGCTAAATTTTAAAGTTTTTAGAACGGGAGATTTCAGAGGTCAAAGATTATCGTCTACTCAACATTCGAAATACGGCGAAGTTCTTTTTGCCAAAATTTTTAAAAATACCTATCTTTTTTCCTACTTTTCTTGAAAAATTGATCCAGCATATCTTAACGTATTATACCTTGCACAGAAATTCTTCTTAAGAAACATTTAATAACGACAGTACATCGAATTTCGGATTCCCATAAGTCTATGTAAAAAATTCCATTTAAGTTCTATTAATTATTATTATTTTGTTAAATACAGGAGTATTTTAAATTACATTAAAAGTAGCATGTGTAAAATATCCTTACCACGTCTATCTTTTTTTATATAAGTTAATGTTTTCATTCGCAGTGTGTAGCTTTTATTATAAGCTCATTCTACTATATTCACATTNGCAAAGAGCGCACACGTCCATTCCGCAAGCGAAAAACGTGCAAAGTGACGCAAAATCGTGTTGCAACAATACGCGTTTCCATTGAAACGGCAATTGTTGTGAGATTAGAAAGCGCGTAACGAATTCGAATGCGATTGACGTCATGGATTTTTTTTGAATTTTAAGGCTAAATATCTGCATATTTTACGTTTCTATCCCCCGAGTGACGACGGATTGGGATTCACAGACTCCCTACCACCCTCCGCCTTCGGTTTTCATTCTCCACAAGGGGATAGAAACGCGATTTTCTATAATCGAACGTCATCTTTACCTCGCCACCCCCAAACTAGATATCCTTACCACGTCTATCTTTTTTTATATAAGTTAATGTTTTCATTCGCAGTGTGTAGCTTTTATTATAAGCTCATTCTACTATATTCACATTCTGTATTTGTCATTACAACGTGTATTACGTATTTCTGCTTTTTGTGCACGTTCAAATTGTTTATTTATATTCACTTTACATCTGTATTCAGCATAATTTTCCATTACATTTAGATATTACTAAATAAAAAAATACGAAAATGAATTTAGTGTATATAAATATATATATAAATGTTTTATTTAATTAAAAAAAACACTTTTATACACGATGTGTCTTTATAACATTTTCTTAATAAGCATTATTTAAAAATAATGCTTATTAAGAAAATCAAGTTTAACAAAACATGATTTACGGGGTAAAATAAATTAAATGCACATAATTTTTTTTTATAAAATTGTGTAAGCCGTTGTAGCTAACAAAATCCTCCCGATTNGATATTCCTTGGTATTTGTGGAATGGTTTATTTCCCATCACAAATGGATTTCAATCCATTTCTGGAGGAAGTTTTAAGTGCCACAGATGAAAGAACTATACAAACATTTAATTCACGTGAAAAATTTATCATATTATTCTAATTCCGTTATGGTAACAGATGATGTATGAGAACTTTGTGGCCGGATTTTTGGAACTGGGTTTTCACAGTCTTCTGCTTCAGTAATAACAGGTTCTTGAGTGGAGTCTTGTGGAAATGAATGATTGTGTTGAGACTGATGTGGGTTAGATATTGGAGTTATTGTTACTCCGTTGCCTATGCTACCATGACCATTCATATTTGTAGCTGATTTGATTTTTGCTGTTATCATTTCTGTTAACAAAACATTTAATTTCTATTGAGACAATAAACACATTTTAATATTAAATATAAGTGTGGCTGCATTGAATATAAGCATACAGAAGACATCAATTACACAAGACAAAATTATTTAACAAACAGAAATCAATATTGTCCAAGGACTTACCATCAACTTGGTCAGATTATAGAAAAGTACTCCAGTTTCTCTATACAGAATATTTTTTTACAGTTATCATAGAGGTCTATGAATCAGCCATCTAATCTCATCTCTAGACTTTCTATAAAGCTCCCTTGCTTTTGCACATTTCCAAGCAAGATAATTTATTGCAATACCAATGTACTCTATGCAGTTTTATCCAGTACGAAATCATTATTTTCTGTCATTGAAGATTATTAAAACATTTTAAAATTTAGTTTATTTCATTTTAAATTATTATTTCAATATTTTTTCACATAATTTTTAGTTTTCAATTAATAGTGTGTAAATATTGAATTAAAACAATCACTTTCCTGTCTGGCATTGCTGTCCTATACTTCCCTCTTACTATTAATAAATCGAACACAAAAAACTTTTTTGTGTTCGATTTTATTCTATGTTATGGTAACTGAAGAAGATCGTTAAGAAACGATCGAAAATGTTATTATATTATTAATTTTTATTAGCTGGATTATTAAAGGTGTGTTTTATTAATAGTATATTTATCCAGTTCGTTCGTTATATAAGTATTCCCTCTTACTAGCTTCCTAAGAGAAATTATTGGTAGTTCAAAAACATACAGTTGTAACTAGCACCATTAATTGAGAAATGGTAACTGTTGTATTGATGCCATTTAATTGATTTGAGTTTTCTGTTGAACACAAAAACTATAGAATATGAACACTTGTGATTTTCTATAATCTGAGAGGTAATTTAATCAAAATATTTTTGATACCATTTTGAAACATTTTTGTAGTGAAATTCTGGTTTTTATTCATTGTCTGCANTAAAATATCCTTACCACGTCTATCTTTTTTTATATAAGTTAATGTTTTCATTCGCAGTGTGTAGCTTTTATTATAAGCTCATTCTACTATATTCACATTCTGTATTTGTCATTACAACGTGTATTACGTATTTCTGCTTTTTGTGCACGTTCAAATTGTTCTATGAGAAATACTGGTAAAGCAATCATTTGTAATCTTTTTCACTTGCTGTGTTTACTTTTGAAAACATTTTTATGTATGTAATTAACAGAATACAAGTAAACGAATCATTACAAGAATTTGAATTTAGATTTTATTGTCGAAGATAAGTTAAAAGTAAATTGTTACCAGAGCCTCTTCGGCCATCGGCCGTATCGACCGATGTTATCGCTTCCCGGGACGTGGACCCAGAGGTTGGATTTTGGGAAGCATGTTCGTGTTGTGAAACGGTGTTCTTTATAATGCACGTGAATGGAATCGTTGGTGATTGGATGTGCCGTTGTTTGAACTGTGTGTTTCAGCGTGAGGGATGTTGTTTATGTGCGTGGATGTGAATTATTAAACTAATGTGAGTAAGACAAGGGGAAAAAAATTAAAAACCCTTTGTCTACTTACATCTAGATTAGTAAATTAAATTTAAGGTTTTAGTTTGAATGTTTAGTATGACAAGAGGAGGGAAAATCTCTTGCCTTTTTATCCGAAAATAGTAAATAGAAAATGAAATCTTAAATTTAAATGTTAGTATGACAAGAGGAAAAAAAATAAAAAACCTCTTGCCTTCTTATCCTAGGTTAGTAATATATATCCTTCAGAAATAGCAAAGGAAAAAG